TCTTTTTAGAAAGGTTGTTTTCCTTTTCAAAAAGATTATCAATTCCTAAGTTTGAGTTCAGACACATCTGAGAGTATACCTGAATCCCTCAAACCAAGGTTCTGATACCAAGTTGTAACATCCCAAAAATAGTGATAAAACTTTTCATTTTAAAATCATCAAAACCATACATCATATGTCTCAAAACCATTATAATACAAATGTATCAAAATCATCAGAGTAAAATGATCATCGATGCGGGAATCATAAGGGGATGTTGTGCAGTTAAGTCGGCCCCTTCCCCTTGGAACCGGAAGTACCTGAAAATGTTTAAACCACAAACTGTAAGCACAAAGCTTAGTGAGTTACCCAAAATACCACATACCATACAAATGGGCCCAACCTAACATGTAATTGGTCCCAACCCAAGATATATACAAATGGACTCAGCCCAATCATGTAAATGGGCCCAACGCAACATATAACATATGGGCCCAGCCCAAGATATAATAAATGGACCCAACCCAACATACACATGCAAGAGTCACAAAGACAGCTACCATCCTACATAGTATAGTGAGAAGACTCATATGTCTCATGAAATTGGCTACAACGCAGCTCAAAGTCATGCTACCGGTGCTACAACACACTTATCGAATCAAACAAGGTCCAACCTTAGTCTATACTCTAAAACTGGTACATTACCAGAAGTTAACTCAAGTCAAAGTCAAAGTCAACACCTCAAGTCAATGGTTATAGTCAACTATCCAATATTGACTTCGGGGGATCACCACGTCGTGGCCTAATAAGGACAAAATAGTCGTGTGATACCCCTGCCACCACGTCATGGCACCCAATCATCACGTCGTGGGAACTGGGTCAAGATAGTTTAATGGGTTAAGTTATTTCCCTTCGACACAACGAGCTCCAAAGCTCAGATTTGTTTCTTCCCATGGTCTTAATGGATAAAGTTTCCAACTTTATCCATTGAGACATCCCACTAAGCCTAGATCTCAATTCAAAGGTCCAAAAAGGCAACTTTATGCATGGGATCTAACCAATAAGCACTTAATCCATGAAGTCCTTAGCCCAAAACTTCCACAAAGAACTTAGGGACCCTAATGACCCCTAAAAATGCAAACTTTATGGACATGCATACCCCATGTATGTCCTCTCCCAAATTTAGGTCAAAAACCCAATATAACCTAGAATTCATGCAAGGTTCCCAAATCACCACCACTTCTTAGATATATGAGATATTATGCTCCTGGGACATAGAGAAACCATAAAGTTGCAAACTTTATCTCTTTAACCCATACAAACCACATAAAAGGGACCATAATATGACATAAAAAACCTTGATCTATAGAGACAAACATCAAAATATGGAAACTTGAGGACTTACAAAGAGTCCATAAGGTACACACAAGTGAAGGGGAGGTTTGTTTGCGGAATCAAGGCAACAAATCTTCTTCTTCTTCTTCCTTCAAAACCACCAAGAACTTCCAAAATGAGCATAAAAGCTTCAAAAAGGATTAGGGTTTGCACAAGGATTCGTTTAAAGGTGATGGAGGATGAGGGTGGAGGAAACTCTAGCCTCTACTTTCTTTAAATAAGGCTTAAAGTAATTAGGATTTTAGCCGAAAATCATCGCCACGGCATGGCCAACTTAATGACACGTTTGTTGGGTTTTAGTATACTACAACATCCTATGGTGCACATACAACCCTAAATGCTTTGGATCTATGTTTTCTCTAATTATAAATGCAATATTGTTTCCAAAGCATTAAGCCTACAACTAGCATACAATTGACATAAACAACATAAAATACTAGTTAGGAGTTTACCTCTTTATGTAGCTTGTAGAACTTGTTGTATTTGGCCTTTAAGAACTTAGCACCCCAAGTATGATGCCTCAAACGGTTCACAACACACCTAGGACAAAGGAGAACTTGAGAGAGAGGTTGCTAGCTCCAAAATCGGCTCTAATGAACTCCAAGAACTCTAGTGTCCAATTTTGGGTGCTAAGGGAGTCCTTTTATAGTGTCGCAAAGTCTAGGGTTACATCCATGAAACCCTAATGCTCATGACCTTTCATATTACTTAGGCTCCATCGATTAAACCTCCATGGACTATCCATGGACTACCATATTGGTTTAGCCCATCCTAAATAACAATTGGCCCACGCTATAAGAATCATTGATTTACAAAATCAATCCCCATATATTTAATTAGTCTCTTTTGATCACAAAATTAATTCCAAATTAATTATTGATCAATACTAATTAAATAATATGATTTCATTTTATTATATTAGAACTTATAATATATTAATAAATCAAAAGTAACCTCTTACTCAAGTATCCATCCTATCAAATTGTCCTGGTGATATGCAACCTGAAATCCACCATGCTACTCTCGGGTCAAGCACATACCAATTATAGTTATGGGCTTAGACACCTAATCCAACAACGTTGTGGCACCCATTTAAGATGTGTCGTTCCAAACTAATTGACCACGTCGTGGTGATATAATCACCACGTCGTGGCCAACCAAATTTTCAAACATAATTAAAATTCATATCTCAGAATTTGGATGTTACATTTGTTTGACTGAAAATCATGTTACTAAAATTTAGTCACTCAAGTTTGTTATGTGTTTGGCACCCATTTCATCGAGTATGGGAAGGCCTGGTAGCAAACCTTCATATTCAGCCTCATTGTTTGAGGTTTGGAAGTTGAACCTTAATGCATATGTGAATTCATCTCCTTGAGGGATTTTTAGAACTAGGCCGACTCCAAAGCCTTCCTTAGTTTTTTTCTCCATCAGTATATAGTGTCTATTTTTCCCTAATGTTTGTGTTACCAAAAGGTTTTAATGCACTGTAGATTAGAGGTATGGTTTGGGTAGTTTCTCGTATTTCTGACAGGAAATCATCGAGAGCTTTCCCTTTAATGCTTTTCCATGAGTGATATTTAATGTCTTATTCCCCTAACTCTATTTCCCATTTTCCCATACATCCAAAAATTTACGGTTTGAGCAGTATTTGTTTGATCGGTTGGCTCGTTAGTCTTTCGATGTGGTAAGCCTGAACATATCACCTCAGCTGCCTAGAGGCGTGGACGAATTCCAGTACTAGTTTTTCAAGCATGGGGAACTGTGACATCCCCAAATTTACTGTATTTTAAAAAATTTCATTTATGCTTAATTAAATCATAATTCATTTTTAACTGCGGAATTGGTCCCGTAAAAGTATTTCCAAAGAAATGTTTTTCATTGATTATAAAAATCCAGGGATGTCATAAATGATACAAGAAACATAAGCATAAACGTAAGCCTTACATCATCTTTTATTCTATAGCCTATATTTCCTCAAATCTGTCATCGGGTCTGAACATCAATATCTTTGTACTGCTTCCTATGATACAAAGAAATTGAGTGGGTCAGGTTGGGAAACCTAGTGAGTATATAGGGTTTTCAACCCACAATAAAATATTTGATATGTTCAATTATCAAATAATTAACCCGATTATCCATCCCCATTTTCTTATTTATTCTTCCCAAAGGGTTTATCCTAAGGGTCATCGTAGTCATCGTTTCTTGCAGTACTGTTACAGGGATTTCTTCGCAATACATATCAGTAGATTTGTTTCTAATATCATTCCTAAGGATCATCTTAATCATCGTTACTGATAGTACTGTCATAGGGATTTCGGCGCAGTACGTGTCAGTTGGATAGAGTACATCAAATGAGCACAAAGTCCATCACCTACAGGTTATAAACCTACCTGTGTTCCACGGGACTGTCATCAAATAGTTTGGTGGTCATCACGTATACTATGTTAGATGACTACATCGTTGGTACACTACTACCATTCCTACATCATTGGCACACAAGTACCATATCTACTTCATTAGCACACTACTACCATTTCTAAAGTCATGGCATCCTATCATTGTCTGCATATTTCATCATACCATGGCATCTTATATTTCATCATACTATGGTATCTATTACTACCCTTCGTGACCCACTGTATTAATTTATAAAATACATATATGGAGTATAAATTAAATAAGATTTCATCTAACATAGAACATCTTTACACATAAGCACATATAACATTTAATTAAATTAGAAAATTCATATCTATGTATATGATGAAATTAACTATGCACTCACCTAACTTAGGTGGATGACTAGCGATTTCGGCAGCGCTTCGCTTCATACTTTCAAAAAATCTAGATGCAATAAGTATTAAACCTTAGTCAAGTTTCATAATTCTGGCGAATATAATAATTATATTCTAGATTCCTCACTAATCCTAATGTCTAGATCAATATCTACCAAGTAAGGATCAACCAGGCTGGACAGTTGGGGGGCATGACCATTTCAGCATAATAGCTTTTATGAAATCCAACAACCAAAACAACGTGATCATTCTAGACACATCTCCCGTAAGTAGATCATTCAGTATTTTCACTTGGAATTAATAATAAATCTTATTTATAGGTTCATAATAACTACTTATTACTATAAAAATAAGTTATACTGAAAGTAAAAGAGTGTAGCTTAACTGACAGAGATTCTTCATGGAAACCGGAAATCTAAGCGGGCAGAATACTGACTCGGGAACTCCTATTCAAAGGTTACAACTATCTAACACTACTAGAAAACAGACCTTTAATGACGCGCAATTTATGACACGCAGTGATTTATGATACGGAAAAGCGTGTGACCTAAAAATAATGTCAGCTCTCTAGAAATTTTAAGGATTTAGGACGCGCATTTTTGCGTGCCCTAAAATTAGTGTTAGAAAAAAAAACACGGAGGGCATTTTTTATAAAATGTGTGTCATCTAATCATGTCGCTTTATAATTTTTTAATGAAACGCGCTCTTTGGTAACAAGCGGGAAAAAGAAAAACCCAACAATTAGAAAAGCCCGCTTTCGCTTCCCTCTTTACCCTAATTGGCGATACTTCTTTCCCCTCCCCACATCGACCGCTAACTACTCCCCCCTCACACTCCGACCACCACTTTGTGCTCTTTCCTGGTCGTCGACCCTCTTGCATCGTCGACCCCCCGCCAACGTCGCATCTTTTTCAGCGCCTTCCTCTGCCATCGACCTTCTTCAGTGCCTTCATATGCAGATTCTACGCACCACCCCTTCCATACGAGCACTTTGTAATCGACGACTTGATTATCCTCTCCTTACCTTGCTCTGTCTCACCTCACCTTGTTGGCAACCGCAGGCTCACCTCTAATCGTTGACCATTGAGACTCATCAACACCGGCGACTATGTCTCGAATCCGCTTCCCCTCTACATTACTCCACCTACTACAACTACTCATGAGCTTCTCTTCTACCTTTTTTCCATCAGTTCTCTCACATATCCCCTCGTTCATCTCCGCCCCTCACCCATCTCTACCGTCTCCAACCCCCACCCCCTCACCTAACAACTTTGATTTGAAGAAATTTAAGGAAGTAGAAGTTGTTCAAGAATAATTTGCAGATGAAACCCGGTCTGTAATTAGTTATTGATACGAGTTTCTAAAAATTACAGGAAATAGGAATCAAAAGTTCAATAACACGTTTGTAGTTGCAGAACCCACATCCCTCTGTAAAACTTAGAATTCTATCAGAAAATCAAATATATTCAACATAGCCAAACTAAATTTCTTGGAATAGCTCAATCCCATACTTACATGTTCTTACAGTGTTTTCTTCTTCTTCTTCTTCTACGTAGCAATGATTGCAAAGGTAGCAATTGTTGTGGTGGGTGGTTTTCTAGGATGGATTTATACACTATTGAATGGGGTTGATATTTTTTTTTCTTCTTCAATTTTCAGTGTCCACTTCTAAACATAAGTTATTGCCCTCCAACTGAAACAGATCTATCATCTGGCAAAAAAATGGTAATGAGATGCTTTATATTTTTATCTTCTCCATGAAAGTCAACAAAAACTGTTATATTCTGTATATCTACATAAATGTGAAATGGAAATATGGAATATTGATTTTTATATTGTAGGTGGTTGTTGTCTACAATTCCCTAGGGTGGAAGAGATCTGATGTTATAAGACTTCCAGTGAGTATCATTTTAGGTTTTGAACTTTTGGTTGCATCTAAATCACTTTTTTTGGGATAATAATAACAATAATAATATATTATACATATTATATGTGAATATATAACAGGTTGTGAGTGAGAATATTGCTGTCTATGACTCGAATGGAAAAGAAGTAGAGTATCAACTTCTGCCCATAGTAAATGACGCTATTGCCCTTAGAAACTACTACACCAGTGCATATACTGGCAAATCACCAAGTTCAATTTCCAAGTATTCACTTGCATTTACAGCATCGGTTCCACCTCTGGGATTTACCACCTATGTCATTTCACAACAGCACCTGTCAGCATGCTGCTCCAACCTTTGTCAATCTAATGAATGCTGCAATTCTTAGGCTTGCTGCACATAATAAGAATATGACCATACAAACACGTAATCATCCACTGCCAATGACAGAAAGTCAACGCCTCCAACGTGAAGTATACATATACTTCCAATTATTCTTCTATTTATGCTCATATCTTATAATTTTGTCTAGGATAACATGCAATCAGAATATTGACACCTTTATATGTAGTGCGTATTTAAATAGTGATTTGTATGATCTTGTAGGACCTAGATGCATTCTCTGCGACTATTGTTGTGAGTATTGCCTTCTCTTTCATTCCTGCTTCATTTGCTATTGCTATTATGAAGGTATGCCACTCTCCGGTTGTCTTTTTCACATAGTTGACAAGGAGCTGATGTATCTATTCAGACTAGGCTTAGAGCAATGGTTGCAAGAGATGAGTTCAGAAGAAGATGAAGAAGAAGAAGAAACAAGGATGCAACTATAGTTCAGGTACTATGGATGAATTATGTTTGTAAAGTATTTAAGAAAATGATTAGAAACAAGGGTGAATTTGTAAAGATTAGTTAGCTACTAGCAGGTTGATCTTGAATAAGCAAAGGGGAAATGGATTGTATTTTTTGTATCTAATTCGTTTGTATATTTTTGTTACAACTTCTATTGATTTGTTTTATCTTTTCATGGAACGATTGTTTGTATGACATTAAATTTTATGCAATGGATTGTATTTTTTGTATATGATATTTTATTTTCTATTATGAGACATTAAAAACAAATTTAATTTGAAAATTAGTAAATCAATAAATAATATTTTTTTAAACATTTAAAATTACGATAAGCAAAAATGTGTGTCATCTTCATTTATGACATGGTCTTTCTTTACAGTGTCTTCCTTGACACGCAATGCGTGTCCTAAACGCGCGTCGTAAATGCATGTCGTAATTGCGCGTCGTAAATGTGCATCGTAAATAGACGACGCGCAAAAGCATGTCGTCTTTCGTTATGACAGGGCCTTCCTTCACACGCATTTGCGCGTCATCTAAGCGTTTTATGACATGCATTGCGCGTCGTAAAAGGCTGTTTTTCTAGTAGTGTAAGTATTCAAGGGTGTTGCAAGGCTTCGTCGTAGGCCAGAAACTCAAGGAAAAAGGGTCTATAGGAGGGGGATTTGAGTGAGAGGGAGAGGCTCTAGGGGCTGGATGTGAGGAACTTATACGTAAATGAGTCATATATATATATATATATATATATATATATATATATATATATATATATATATATATATATATATATATATATATATATATATATATATATACATATATATATATATATATATATATATAGACTTTTGAAATGCGCCTCGCGCATGGTATAGGGGTACGTTGTGCACAAGGATCATGCTGGCTCCATGGGGCTTCTGCCACGTGTCGCGTCGTCGTTCACCCACCTCGCGTCCTTCTAGAATGTGACACGTGTCACATTCATATGGAGCCACATTTCAAACTTTTATGGAGCCACGTTGACGTGTCTTTCGGAGAGTTCGGCCGCCCGACATTACCATGTGGCGCTCTTTTGCGGTGCCACGTAATCGCACTTCGCGCATGCGATTTTCTAGATTTTTAAAATGACGTAACTTCTTCATACGAGCTCTGTTTTTGACGTTCTCTATATCCCCGAAAATCTCTTGACGAGATCTACTACTTTCCTATAGATCTCAAAAGCTAACTCTTATTCTATCAAAAATTTATATTTTTGATAGGGTTAGGTTGTTAGAAATCATTGTAGAAAGTGTATATCCTACATACGGACTCCGTTCTTGATGTTCCCTATATCAATGGACTCTTGTTGATGAGATCTTAAATTCTCGTTTAGATTGTTTTGTCTAATAACGTATCGTTGCAGAATTCAATTTCTGTGCCAGCATTGCTGGGCAGAAACTTCGAAAAATCATAACTTCCTCTTCTGAAGTCTGATTTGGATGGTCTCTATATGTACGCTCTCGGTTTAACGAATACTACGACTTTTTTTAGATTACTAAGGATAAAAAGTAAATGATCAAAAATTCATTTTTACGATACGTAGAGCCGTGTCGGTTTAATCGCTAAACTACGAAGAAGCATAACTTCTACATACGAAGTCGGATTTCAGCTTTCTTTATATATACGGAATGCTTGTCACATATACCATGACTTTGGTTAAGATTAATTATCCTAAATAACCATTTAATTTTCAACGCTTATTATCTCCTAATTGACTAGCTCAAATCTACGGGTGTTACAATTATTGTTGGATTAGGTTTCGAAGCCCATAACTATATATGGTATAAACTTAGATTGATAGTAGCAATGTCCTTTTGGGTTGCCTTCAAACCTGACAATGGAATAGGATGACTGTTAGAGAGAGAAGAATGATTTATTAATTTATTACTTGGTTGATAAATTAATTTGAAATCAAAATAAATGATTTAATTAATGTATTATGAGAATAATATATTAATTAGTAATCATATAGTTTAATTAATATTTAATCATAAATTAACTTGGAGTTAATTTTAGGATTTAAGGAATTAATTGAAACTGTAGGGACTAAAGGTGATAATGTTCAATAGTTGAGAATTGATCATTCTAGAACCTCCCTTAGAGGGGGGGGGGGACGAAATCTAGATGCTCCTAGGGTTTCCTTGGGCTCTAAGGGTGCCTTTGAAGCCTTAGGGAGGAACTTAAGGGATTAGGGTTATCTAAGATACACCTGCCTTATCCTAAACCTTCCTTATCACCTATATAAACCCCTATAGGGTTGGATTTCATCCTATGCACTCCAAGAAAGGCTTAAAGCTGAATTTTCCACTTCCCTTCTCTCTCCATAGTAATCTTTGGTTGCTATGTTTGTTTGTGAGCCATTAGAGGCGTGACACTTGTGGCGCTTGCTACCAAAGGTTTTTCAAGCAAGGCTTTTAGATTGTTATTACAATATAACAATCAAGGTATGTAATTTAATCCCTATTGTTTGAATTTGATTATAATACATAGAACCTAGGGTTTCTTCTTTTGTGTTCAAGTTGCATGTTCAATTAGAGAAAACCTAGATCCAATTCAGTTAGGGTTGCATGCACACATAGGATTGTATGTTTTGCTCAAAAACCCATCAGTGGTATCAGAGCTTGGGAATTCTTTTCTATTGTATTTGATGCAATTGGTTGAACTTGAAAAAATTAGGGTTTATGGCAACTAAACCCTTGGCCTTGCAATTTTCGCAAATTAGGGTTTTATAACCCTAGTTTTTCGATTTTATGGTTAGGGTTTTAACCCTTTCCTTTGGCCTCAAATTTCGAAAATTAAGGGTTTCCCAACCCTTAGAATTTTCGAAAATAAGGCAAGGGATGAAGCCCTTTCCTTCCTCCCCAAGTCTAGTGATTTTCGAATATTTAGGGATAAGGATAGGGTTCATATTTTTAGGAATTATCTTGTTAATTGTTTAAATAAGATAATTTTATCCCTCCCATTTTCGAAAATTAGGGGATTGGGATTAGGTTAAATTATCTTGATTAATTTAATGGATAATCCACAATTGATTTAATTAATAGATATATATTAAATCAATTATTTTAATTTTTAAATTTAAATTACATAGTTTAATTTTCGAAATTTAAAATTAAAAATAAAACCCTAGTATTTTGAAAAGTTTAAAATACATCCTCATGGATTTTATTAATAAATTAATTAAGTGTTTAATTAAAAGACAATTGATAAATCCATAGATAGGTTTAAATCTAATTAAATTAAAAGCTTAATTTATTAAAGGATTAAACCTTAGTATTTTAAAGGTTTAAAATACACTCTATACTGTATAAGATTAAAAGTTTAATTTTATATATATATATATATATATATATATATATATATATATATATATATATATATATATATGTATAAGAAAAGGTCAGTCCTACCGTTAGTATGCCTCATTCACAAAGCTAGTCTATA